TTTTATGGAAACCGAATATATCATATTATGATGTTTGAATTACGACAAAATTATTGTGCTATTAATTCAAATTCAGATCAAAAATTTTCATTAACAATTCAAACTCAAATTCAAAATCTTTTGCCAAACATTGAGGGATAAATGCTGAACATACACCTTTAATTTTCAAAGTAAAACCAAAGGTTGTGATCAATAACATATCCACAGTAACATCAATTTCACAGTACCATCCACAGTACTCAAGCACATCAATACATTGAAATTATGAAAACAATTTTCCAATTTTCACACAGGATCTATTTCATGTTACTTTGAATCAATGAATTTTCGAATGTCTTGAACAACGAAGAAAGCAACAAAAAATGTTCACATGTAATTATATAACACATTAATTTAACAAAAATAACATAAACAGTTCCATCAAGTTACATGATGTACACATAGTAACATGAGGATAACAACATTAAAATTATTCACTAAATCATAAAAACATCACCCTAAGCAACATCAGACAAACACAATTTACAATAACTTCTTTAAATTTTGAATTGAATCAGTTTGGGTAATGATAGTTAAGGGTTTTCAGAGAAGGAAACCCAAAAAGATTTGATGAATATTTGTCGAACTTGTATGATAGAATGAGGGGGGAAGTTTCTGTATAGAGTGGTGAGAATAGAGAGTATCTCCATCTGATATAGAAACGTCAATTTAGACACCATTTGTGGTTTTCCAAAAAATAAAGGTACAATAGTAAACTTGACAAAAAATGGACTCTTGCAGGACTTATCTCCAAAAAAATCCATCTAGGAGACCGGCATCCAAATTTTTCATTTATTTATGGGTATGTTGCTTCGAAAGAGTGACCTACGTCCGTTACACCCATCCCCATAGGAGAGGAGCCACCACCTCCACCTTTACACCCCTTTCCCATTCCTTAGCTTCCCCTAATTCCGTCTTTTTCTCTTTCGCTCTCTCTACCTACTCTCTCTAGTTACCCTTGTTTATGTTGTTAGGATTCTGCCTCTTTCTATAGATTTGAAGTGGGTTTTTGTGGTTTTGAATCTTTTGATGATCTAGATTGTTGGGTTTTTGGAATTTTGGAGGAAAGAGATGGAGGAGAATCGGTTGTGCCAGTGGAGTGTAATTCGATCCCTTCTAGCCATAACTCAATGGTGGGTGGGGTATCAATATTACTGCTATTATCATGAACAAATAGATCTTTCAGGTCTATTGTTTGGTGGTTTTGGATTATAAAGTAAGTTGAAAAATGGCATTATCACAAACTTTTTTTTTCATGTTATTTTTTGTTTATGGAGCATGGTACTATTTTTTTTTTATCATGTTACTATTATTTTTGTGAGTACATTATTACTTTTTTTCATTTTACTATTTTTTTGTTGAGCATATTATTATTTTTTTTAATGAGCATGTTACTATTAATATTGAATGTTGCTATTTTTCCACAATATCAATATTCAATCTTTTTTTTTTGTCAACCATATTACTATTGTTATTTTTTAAAATATTAATAGTCAGTATTACTATTTTTTGTGTTTGACTGCAATATTAAAAACAAAAAAGAGTAACATTTCAACACAAAAAAATAGTAGTTCGATATAGATAGATATGAGGAAAGAGAAATTAATAGTACTATTATAGATATAGATAGATATGAGAGGGAGAATATTAATGTTAGTCAAAACTTCTAAAATTTAGTAGTTGTTTGTTTTTAAATTTGTTTTAATTAAATATTAACTAATAAGAGTATTTTGGATAATAGAGATCAAAATATTTATATAACAAAGTAAAACGAATTTGAATTTTGGAGACAAAGAGTGGTTTAGATCGTTTCGTGACAAAAAAAACATCATCTAACGGACGACGTTATCGCAAACTGTCTCGAGCTATTAACGTCTCAGATTATTTTGATCCGACGTACCACATTAACTCCTTTGAAATTTTTTTGGTGCTCAAAATTTATAATTTTCAAAATTGATATTCCAAAATTTAATTCTCCAAAATCCTTTCCTTAAATCAAACAAATCTCTCTCTCTCTCATTCCTATGTATCTCTCTCTCTCTCCAGCTTAATTTACGCAAAAAGTATCAATTTTTCATAATATTTTCTTATGTATTTTTCTCTATATCTCACAAAAATATCACGAAAATATTAGATAGTGTCTGATTCAAACAAATACTACATCTCTCTGTAAATAGATAGTATATATCACAGAGATAGTATATTATAAAAATATTTCTCTGTATTTCTTCCTAAAAGAAAATTATGTAATAAATATTAGATAAATAGTATATATCATGAAAATATTCCCTGTATCTCTCTTTTTCATTCAAGCAACACTACAAACATGAATCATATAAATTCAATAGTCAATTTTGTTTTTTCCATAATTAATAAAAAAAAAAACATAACTTGCAAAAAATCTAATTTAACAAAGAAAATATGCTTAACATGTAAAATATATAAGATTAAATTCAAGCTATTGAGCAACTAAGATATCAAAAGATATATTAAAAAAATATGCTTAACATTTAAAATATACAAAATTAAATTTATATACAAACACGAATTATACAAATTCAATATTTAGTGAATAACACAAAACAACAATATTTACTAAATAATTCAAATCTAAATACCCGAGAAAAATGATACAAAATTACAAGCGAGAATGATATAAAATTATAAACAATACTATGAATACGAATCATACAAATTCAATATTTAGTGAACAACACGAAGTAACAATCTTTACTAAATAATCTAATACTAAATAACATTTAGTTTAAAAAAACATACTAAGAATATAAATAACCGAAAATAATGATATAAAATTAAAAGTACTACTATAAATTCGAATCATACAAATTCAATAGTTAATTTTATTTTTTCCATAATCAATAAAAAAAACATAACTTGCAAAAATTTTAATTTAATAAAGAAAATATGTTTAACATGTAAAATATACAAGATTAAATTCAAGTTATTGGAGCAACTTATATATCAAGAGATATATTAAAGAAAATATGTTTAACATTTAAAATATACAAGATTAAATTCATATACAAACACAAATCATACAAATTCAATATTTAGTGAACAATATAAAACAATAATATTTACTAAATAATCCAAATCTAAATATCCGAGAGAAAATGATACAAAATTATAAACGATACAAAATTATAAGCAATACTATGAACACGAATTATATAAATTCAATATTTAGTGAACAACACGAAACAACAATTTTTACTAAATAACATTTAGTTTTAAAAAATATACTAAGAATATAAATAACCAAGAAGAATGATATAAAATTAAAAGAATTACTATAAACTCGAATCGTATAAATTCAATAGTCAGGTCGTATCTTTTGGAAGTCGGTTGAACTTATGATAGTTATATTTGATCATTTGACAACATCTGCAAACTTAGTTTATTTGTGAGAATATTGTTTTAATTTTCATTCTATAAGTTGTGCATTCTGTTATTATTTAGATAAAGTTGATTATAAATCTTAAAATCGTGGATTTTGAATCAAAAGCAGAACATTGAATATTGTCAACTGATATATTTTTTCAGATGTTTGAATTATTATATTTTAGTAGTTATAACATAATTTTTGTGGCCTAACAATTTAATATAGAAATATATATTATGTATGTAGGTTGATGTTATAAAAAATATTAGCGGACTTATTTTGTTTGTCATTTACTACAATGTTGTATTTTACTTTACATTTATGTATGACCAAATATTTGTAACTAATTTACGAATAACACCGTGTCTTCAGGCACGTGTAATTACTAGTACTTAATATTAAACAAATTTTTTGATAAATTTATCACTAAATAAGTTTTTAAAAAAAGACCGACTTCTAATTTTTCCTAATTAAAATAGGTGAGTATATAACAATCACCCGAAATTGCCATTTGTGATTCGAATGGAGTAGATACCAGATTTTTTCTCAAATTAGTGCATTTGATAATACCCTCTCAAAAGCTTATTATGTGAACAAATTGAACTACAATGAAAATATAAGAACTAAAGATTGTATGACCATTTTGTGAACATATTTAATGAATCACACTCTAATGTTGTTAAAATTACTCCAAAAACTTGAGTTGTTGAATAAAAATGTAATACGAGTATCATTTATTTAACATGTAATATTTGTTGAGTGGTTCATTCCACTCCACGAATGAAGAAATGGTGAATTTTTCAATACATATTGTTTTAGACGGGGTAGGGGAGGTATATAATCTATGAAACACGGATATTTTGTTGGAGTCGGCGTATCTGTATCGGATATGATATTCGTCGGATACTCAAAAATACGTATCGAATACACCTCTCATGTATTCGATAATAATTAAATATTAATATACTTCACGGATATTTTTGTGTTCAAGCAATATATAAAATTTTTTAATTGAATTTTTAACATTTTCTTTCGAATTCTTATATCATACAATACATTTACAAAAATTCATACTACTTTAAAGGTACATGAATATTTTTTATATATTATCTACAATTACATATCAAAAGAGCATAAAATAAATTTATTACATTATAATTTTAGCAAACGTCACTTATAAATAAATCGACTCGGTAAATGTTAGCTTTGATTCTTTAATTAATCACTTCACTTTGTGAATATACTATAGTGATGTAATATATATTTTCTTTAGGCTAAAAAGAATTACAAATTTTTTTTATTGTGTTAAAAAATTACCAAAATATATAAATATTATGTTGATTGAAAATAATAAAAATATTAAATATATTTTATTATAACCGTATCTTGATCGTATCCATATTTTTTTTTTTTTAAAACTTTACCGTATCACCATATTCATATCGTATTATATTCATATTTTTTATCCGTATCCATATCCGTATCCGTATCTGTCTTTCATATAATTTACCCTTTTTTAAAAGCAACGCAAGAAATCATAATTGTTGATTAGTTGATTTGGCTGTTCTGACCACCTCACCCTTTTCTTCTCCTTCTGCTAGTGTCCTACCCAAGCCTTCCAACCCTAAAAATCTCCCAAGCTCTCAAATCTTCTTTCAGCGATCTGGTACAAGCTCTCTCTTTCTATTCTCTCTCACTCTACTTGCTCTGTGCTGTGGACCATTGATACTCTCTCGCGATCTTGTCATTGTGCTTCGTGACTTATTGACCATCCGATGGCTCAAGACAAGCTGGATCTCCCCGACGATCTCCTCTCGTTCAAACCGTCCGATCAGTCTTGGACATCCAAAGGTATCCAACTCTTCTTTCGCTGTTCCTCGAATTTAGCTATTGTTTGATTTAATACTTCGATTGGATTCTATGGATTTTAGGTCAATGTTTTATTAGGTTTTATTGATCTTAACGTATTCGTGTCTGATACGATGCTTCATCTAACTCCTAATTGGAATTCTAGGGCTTCAGATCACGTTCCTTTTAGTTATAATGTTTGACTTAAATTTATTTGGTTATTATTTACATTGATTTGGTTTATTCGGGGTGCGGATTCAGTTTCTCAAATGCCGTTTGGTTGCTGCAAAAAATATTGGAAAGAGAAGAACACTTGGAAATGCATCGACCCCATTGTTGTAACTTCTTTTTTAACGTCTTTTCTCTGTAATCAACTAAAATTGAATATAAGTTTTATGCGTAGTTTGTGGTGTATACAGTTTGATTTTGAATTGCTCTTACTTTGCTATCATAAGCTGGGTCACAAAATCAGCTGCCTGCTTAATCCCATTGCTTGGTATGCAAACTCTTTCATGTTTTGTGAAAGAACGAAAGTGTTAAATTCGGAAGGTGTTCTTTTGTTTGCTAAGTGTGTTGCTGATAAGTGATAACTTAATTAGGATGCCTAACTTCACTTACGACATCATGTTCCTGTTTATATATAGGTTTACTTGGTATGTGGTCCTCAAACGATGGGTAATTTATATACTTCTTTATGGATTTAGTGTAGTTTCTAACAGTATGCCTCACATAAAGATGGAGACTTCTTTGTTGATTTATATTAATGTCTAATATGGAGTGCATCCAAAGTTTGATCTGTCAGACTTAAGTTGTATACATTTGTATAATTTTCTAGTTTAATTCTAGCAGCCTTCTGAATTCTTGTTTAAGACACCACTTATCTTAATATATTGTTATGTTTTTCCTTCAATTATGCTGTATTGTTATACGGGAGTCATGTCCCAACATTCAAGGCATAGTGAATATTTATTTGGAGTGTGCAGATAATTATGCAATTCATGTGTATATTATGCATTTGTCTCAGAAATATTGGAAATGTATTTGTAAGTGAGTGTTCGAGGAGTATCGTAATACATGCAACTGCTCTATCTGAGTATCTGTGCTTACACTGGTTCTCTTCTTTCGTAGTTATATGTAACCATCCAGGAAATCGTGTTTGGTCTAGATTTTGATCAATGTCATTATTGATTTATTAATTATTTTTAACGGAACTATCAATGTATATTTACCTATATGCATGGATTGATGCCACAACAGTCGAAGCTTCTCGAGGTAATGATGAGGAAAAGGTGGCAATTGGATTACTTGATGAATCAAAAGGTAAATTTGTGCTCATAATCTTCAGTATCAGTTTTGTTTTTGGAAGATGAAGCACTCTTTTCTAAGCTGTTGTACTTGCTGTCATTTTGTTGTGTATCTTACTGCTCTCTGAAATTGTTATGACTTATTGATAACTGCTGCAGATCAAGCAGCATCAGAAAGCAGCATTCCTCTCTCTCCCCAGTGGCTGTATGCTAAATCAAGTGAGACAAAGTTGGTGAGTGCTAAGCCGTCCCGGGAACATAAGTTTGTTTATTATCTAAAATTTCCTTTGGATGCTCTATGTTACTATTTTATGTTTTTGTTGTATGAAATAGCTGTAACAACTTTTTTTTATGTTTCTTTCTAAACTATAATAACTCGTTGAATTGTATGGTACTTCTGATGATACAGACTCTGCACTGTGGGGGAAGCTTATCTTTCCTGTTTGGCGTCTCTGTTTTATTTTTTCGGTTTTACTGTCTTGGTATCTAAACATTTGCATTTCTCTCCATATGTTGTCTGGTATAGTTTTTAGTTTTTACTCTCATCGCTTTTTCAGGCAACTGGTGCTTGGAAAAGAGTGATGGCACCTCTTTCTTTTTCTTTTTTACTCTTATTGTTTCTTGAAGGCGCTTGTCGTCTGTTTCTAATAAAATTGTGAACAGAATTTTGTGCAAAAAGCAAATAAATACTTCTGAGATGTGCAAACTTCAGTTTTCATCGACCCTCCATGTCTTTAGATATTATTAGCTCACAAGACATATCTTTTAGTTGTTATCCCTTTAGAACTTTTCTCTACAGATTGTGTTCCCTCTTTTTGTGCTTCCCACCCCAAGGTTATGATTTAGTTGTTAGGAGAGTGTTTTTCAGCATTTATTGCCTTCTTTTGATGTGCAAAATAGTTGGATCAAAATAATTAGGGTTGCAATTGTTCATTAAAATAGATACTTTATTATATGTATAACAGGAAATACGTGCACCAAGCTCTCTGTCCATTGGAAATTCTGTTGATCTCAATCAGAAGGAGGGTTGGCGTTCTGAGGGACCTGACGACAAGAAAGATTGGAGAAAAGTTATAACTGAGACTGAGAGTGGCCGTCGCTGGCGTGAAGAAGAAAGGGAAACTGGTTTACTTGGTAGACGTGATCGCAGGAAAATGGATCGCCGTGCTGACAGTGGTCCAGGCAGAGAAACTACTGACAACAAGTCTTTGCCTGCTGCTGATAGGTGGCATGATGTTAGCAATCGGAGTTCTGGGCTTGAAATGCGGCGCGATAGCAAATGGTCGTCTAGGTGGGGTCCTGAAGACAAGGAGAAGGAAACTCGGATGGAGAAAAGGACAGATGTAGATAAGGAAGATACCCCCAATGACAATCAAGCTTTTATTGGTAGCAACCGTGCAGTTTCTGAGCGCGAGTCAGATTCTCGTGATAAATGGAGGCCACGACATAGAATGGAGGGGAATTCTGGTGGACCAGGTTCCTTCCGTGCTGCCCCTGGATTTGGACTCGAGAGAGGACGTGTGGAGGGTTCAAATGCGGGGTTTGCTTTAGGACGTGGCAGATCTAGCTTAAAGCCTCCATATGCAGGTCCCATTGGTGCTGCTCATTTCAACAAGAATGAAAGTGTCCCTGGGAAACCAAGCCTGCCAACTAATACATATTTGTATCCAAGGGGGAAGCTTCTTGACATTTACCGGTTGCAAAAGCTGGATCCTTCCTTTTTGGTCATACCAGACAATCTTGTGGAAGTTCCCCATATAACACAAGTAACCATCATTGAACCTTTAGCTTTTGTTGTTCCTGATGCGGAAGAGGAGGTAAACTTTATGATTCATGTGGTGAACTGTGCTTGCTTTACTTTGTGTTTTTTTCCACCAAAAAATGTAGTTGTTATTAACTCTTGAGGAATTTTGCATCTTAAATGGGCTCATGCAATGGTTGCAGGCCATCCTCGGCGACATATGGAAGGGAAAAATCACCAGTAGTGGGGTGTTGTACAATTCACTTAGAAAGGGCAGATCAGCCGATAATGTTACAGGTATCCAAGCTCTATCGATTCTTGTGTTCATGCAAATACCTACAGTTGTTTTCCTTTTTGCATTTTTTTTGGTTCTTGCTGTTTCTGAAATCTCTTGAGTGTTTATTTCTAGACGTCGGAGACTTGGTACTCAACAATGCAAAGGAAGGTGTGCTCTGCACCGTTGTTGATGAGGAGAAAGTTGATATTCAAAAGATTGCAATTGATAATGCTCATCAAGCTAATGTTGATAGCATCTTGTGTAATGATGTTCATAAGATGTATTTGGTTGATGGTGAGTCCCAGATCCCCTTTCAACCTTGAACACCAGGATTTTTTGAGTTACTTCTGATCAATACTATATGCGCTTTGTTTCAGGGGAAGAGGTTAATATTGCTGGGGAACTAAAAGTTCCTGAGGCTTTGATAGGGACGGACACAGATGAAATGACGTCGAAAATATCAAGAAGTAACAATATCAGCATTGCCCAGGAGAGTGGTGGTGTCCACAATTATGCTTCATCTCCTTTCGAAGTTGCAGATTCTGCTTTCACCAAACACCCTCTGTTCGATGCTGTTGAGTCTCTTCCTGCTTTTGATACCATCACCAAGCTTTCTGATGATTCACACTCTCTATACATTCCACCATCTTCTGAGCAGTGTTGGACTGACAATTTGCATCCCTTGGAGAGGAATAGCAATGAAAATCAGTTTGGGAGGGATATTCCACCTGAGGAGCTAAGTTTGTACTACTGTGATCCTCAAGGGGAGATGCAGGGACCATTTCTTGGGGTTGACATCATTTCATGGTTTGAACAAGGGTTTTTTGGGACAGATTTGCCTGTCCGCTTGGCAGATGCTCCAGAAGAAACACCCTTTCAACATCTGGGTGAAGTCATGCCACATTTGACAGTTAGACATGGATATGCCAGTAGCACTGATTTCAGTTCTAGGGTAGAGCAGTCAAAAAATTTGGAAGGCAAGTTGGAAGCTAATTTACCCGCTTCGATACCTGTTTCTGTCTCTGAAGTTATTTATTCAGCTGCACTGGATGGTTGGCAGTCATCTGAGTTTGATGGTCCATCTGCACAAAATCTTCAATCAAGAATATCTGAAGCCGAAGGTTCATTGCAACTCCAATCTTCTGTGGCTCAAACCTTTCGTGATTTTGTCGTCCAAGATGAAGGTTTATTGATTCTTTTGATAATGTTCTTGATTTTACTACCTTTTTGATTATGTATAGATACAGTCTAATATTTTCCCTTTGTTTCCCGCAGAAATTGTGTTTCCAGGAAGACCTAACAGTAGTGGCAATGCTATTGGATTAACTTCTAGGGGTATTAATGACTCTGCTGCAAATGTTATTAGCCACCATTCTCTCCCAATTGAAGTGACAGAACCTGGCATGCCAAGTCAGCAAGATCATAGGTTGCATCCTTTCGGTTTGTTGTGGTCGGAGCTTGAAGGCACATACTCAAGGAATACTCAGTCATCAAATACTCCTTTTAGCAGTGGTGTTCAGAATCAACTTTTGGACCCTATAGCTGGAAGGATTGCCCCATATGGTGTGATGGCTGATTCAGCTCATGCTGCAGAGACGTGGCCTGATACGTATAGGAGAAATGCACTCCTAGACTCAAACTTGTATCAAGATGCAGTGGATGCTCACCAGTTGTCACACATGAATCAAGAATCCAAACGTTTTGATTTAGCCGAGAAACTCTTGTCCCAACAGTTGCAACAACAGCATTTCCAGCCGCATAATCTCTTGTCTCCTCATTCCCACTTGAATGAAATATTGCTTGAACAATTACAAGGTCAGAATTCTGTTCACCAACAACAACTGGCCAGTCAGACAGAGCAAGATCTGGAACATTTTTTGGCACAACAACTGCAACAGCAGAGGCAACTTCAGCTTCAACAGCATCAATTGCAGCAACAGAAAAGGTTCCATCAACAGCAAATGCTATTGAAGGAACAACAGTCTCAGGCTCAACAGGCGATTCTTGAACAATTGCTGCAGAGCCAAATGTGTGAGCCTGGCCGTGGGCAATCACATGATGCTATTAGACCCAACAATGCTCTTGATGAGATTCTATTGAAGCAACGTGTTTTAAATGAGCTACAACAGTATTCCCACAATCCTCCAAGGCATGCCGATCCATCCCTTGAGCATCTCTTCCAAGCGAAATTTGGTCAAATGCCACAACATGGTCATCAAAGTGATTTATTGGAACTCATATCACATTCAAAGCATGGCCACATGCAGTCTTTGGAACAACAGATCCTTCAGCAGGAACAGTTGCATGCAAGGCAGTTGCCAATGGGATTGAGGCATAGGATGGAAATGGAGGAAGAGAGACAAATTGGTTCTGTCTGGCCCGTTGATGAAACCAATCAGTTTCTTAGAAGTCCTGCTGGTGCTCACCGAGCTAACACCGCTGGGTTCAGTCCATTAGATTTCTATCAGCAGCATCAGAGACCATCTCCTCAGGAGCCTTTGAGTCATCTTGAACGGAATCTCTCAATCCAGGATAGACTCCAACGAGGTCTCTATGACCCTGGCTTAGTGCCATTTGAGCGCTCAATGTCATTATCTGTAGGTTCTCCAGGAATGAACCTGGATGTTGTAAATTCCATGGCTCGTGCACATGGTTTAGATATGCAGGAGCCAACTGCACGAATCCATCCTGCTGGTCAAGTGGGTGGGTTCACCTCTGGTGGCTACTCTCATCCCTCTCGTCATCCATCCGTTTCCGACCAGTTTCATGCCTCACATTCGGATGCAGTGGAGGGACTCTGGTCTGAGACCAGTGGACAGCCACCAAATGACTGGATGGAATCTCGGATTCAACAATTGCATCTTAATAGTGAAAGGCAGAAAAGGGAGTCAGAAATCAGAAGGACTTCTGAAGATTCAAGTTTATGGATGTCGGCTGGAACAAATGATGACAGTTCAAAGAGGTTGCTTATGGAACTGCTTCATCAGAAATCAGGCCATCAGCCAGCTGAGCTGTTAGATGTGACTAATGGAGTATCATATGAGAGAAGGGCACCTGCTGGTCCCTTCTATGGGGCAAGCTCTTCAAATCATTCTTTTAGTGTTGTCTCAGATGAAGAAGCAGGAGGTCTGAACCACTCATTTGCTGTGGGATCTTATGGTTCTAATTCAGTTGGACCATCACAGGTTCATCTTGGCAATGAGATGGCTAGTGGTTTGGAAAGCCGTGAAAGATTGCCCCCTGGATCTAATTCTGGAGCATCATTTGAAGGAGACTCATTCTTTTATAGCATTAATGGAACCTCTCAGGCAACTTTTACGGACACCAATGTTATAGGCAAACCATCTGTGGAACGAGATTTCTTAGATGTAGATGGAACAGGGTTGGGATTCAAGAAGGAAGGTGGTTTACTTAAGGGGCCAACTTTAGATGCTCAAGAAGGCATGGCTGAGCAGGCCGGTTTGATTGCTGTAGACCGTGGGGATATGCCTGTTAATGTTAATAGCCGGCATACTTCACTTGGCATTGCTGGTAATTTTCTGTGAATGTTTTTTTGGTGGCCTTCCATTTTATTATGCACATGCATGATGATTTCTATGAACCATTTTCAGGTGGGAATGCAGACCTCTACAATGACAAAATTGGAAATTCTTTTGCCAAAGAGATTGCTAGGGACCGGTAAGGAAAACTTCTGCTGTCTTGCATTGTTGCTGCTGTTATGTGAAACAATAACTTATGTAGTTCAATTCTACGTGCGCTATACTTGACGGAGCTGTCCATTTATGCTCTGTTTCAGATGATGGAGTGTAATTCTGGGACATATTTGCTTTGAGGCAGTTGTTTCAATGCATTTGTTAGGATGCAGGGTTAAGAACCTCAATCATGTCACTAAACCCCTCGGAAATATTTGCATTTATTTGTGTTTTTTTTTCTTGCTTGTTTAGGAATAAAATTTGTGTGGATTTTGGGTCAATACATATGTTGCTTTAGTTCAAGGGTCCTTTTGTTTGATGAGCTTCATTTTTTTTTCTGGTAAATATGAGCTTCATTTTTGCTCATGGAGAAAGGGTAATGAATGTATCTTGACAACTTGATAACACTTAAAAATTGTCCTTGGGAAGATGAAATGAATGGTGCAAGCCTTGGTTTATCATAGTTGACTTAGATCCCTGTCTCTCACATTAAGGTATATTTTTGTTGGTTTACAATGGGTTGGGTCTACATGAATTCTACCTGCATCTGGCCATTTAGGTCTCAGTTGAAATGGGCCATGTGTAAATGGGTCGGGATGTACTTTTTCCAACCAGAAACCAACTTATTACTCTGATAAGCAGAAGTCCTTCGAAAGACTGAAAATTTCTTTGTGCAAATCGGAACTTTTATATGTTTTCACCCACACAATCTTATTAGTAGATACGACCGTTAAGTTAGAGAGACAAGGGGGAGGCGTACTAGATGGGAAAGTGGTTTTGATTTCTGCTGGTATGTTACATATGTATATGTTCTTGATTCTCTGAGTACGTTGGGTCATTCTCAATGACCCAACACCAATTTATTCCCTTAATGGATGTAATCTCTTGGTCTGTTGTAGAATTGTTGTGATTTTTTTCTCCTTCCTCTGTGTGTGCGCTTAAGAAATGCGTAAATATCTGTGAATACAGAATATGAGCTGGGAGGTGGGTTGGGAGTATGGGTTGGGAATTTGGTACTTGATCAACCAGGTTTACTTGGAGTTGGAATGCATGTTTGCCTGTAAAAGTATGTGATTGGGTCAACTCAGTATTTGGGTTAACACCAGGACCTGTACATTTTTATGAATATCACTGTATTCTTATGGCCACATCAGATGATGTTGGGTCAAGGTTAACAATATTTGGCTTCAAAGGGTAAAACTGGTACTGGAGGGAGAGTTTGTTAACTGAAAACAAAACCGAATGGGTTTAATTTTAATTTCAAACACAAGATGGAGTATCTGCAATATCAAAAATCCAAAGGGAGGCTGTAAATTATCCTTCTGTGATTCTGTTACAGAAGGCCTCTTATGTCTATATGATACATGGGATCCTCTCAATCTTGAAAGAGTAGTGGAATATAGTATCTGTGTTATTATTACTAACATATAACCAATAGTGAGGTGCTATTTATCTGCTTGTCTTTCGTTATTAACATGCAGTTCTTAATTTTGACTTTCTTTTAATAGGGTGCCAGCACTCCAATCTAAAAGGCTGGAGAATGTTTTGCTGAAACGTCCACCTGTTTCACATTCTTCATCATCCCAGGAAGGGTTATCTGAGCTGGCCTCTGATCCAGTCATCAGAGGGAAAAATATTCCGAGTATGGTAACTTCGGAAGGTATAATATTTATCTGTTTTGCCTGTTTGCAAATTATGGACGTACCAGTTTGGAGCATAGGTCCTCTTGAACCATGCTCCCTCCTGACAACTACAATTGCAAGCATTCTGTCTATTACTGCACTGATTGGTGCAAATGCAGGGTAACACCATTTTAAGTAACTGCGTCTGTTGTGAACCTGCTGCTTTCCACCTAAACTCGGTGTGTGGGTGTGTGTAGTAATTTGTTTGCATTCACTTAATACCTCATGTTGGTATTCATCTCCTCAGATGATTATTGTTAAAATTTGGATTCCATCAGGGGGAAGCAGGGCCACAGACGGAAAGTTGGCAAACCAAGTCCCTGATATTATGGCACCTGGGAAGAAAGATATGCGTTTCAGACGAACCTCTTCTTTGGGTGATACTGATGTCTCAGAGACATCCTTCAGTGACATGCTTAAAAGCAATGCCAAGAAGCCAGCACTGCCAGAGGCTCAAACTTCAACTGGAGGAGGTTCAGAGTTGTCAGATGGAACACAAGGGGGTAAAAGTGGCAAGAAGAAAGGGAAGAAAGGGAGACAAATTGATCCAGCTCTTCTTGGGTTCAGGGTTACGAGCAATCGGATAATGATGGGTGAGATTCATCGCATAGATGATTAATGAATCTTAAATCGAAATGTTCGTGTTATCATAGTTTCACATCAGCTGTACAGCTTTTCATTAGTGTGCAAGGCTTTTGGAGATGAAATATTCCTTTTTTTTTTTAGGCCCCATCCGCACCTCGTTTTAATGGTGTAGGGGTCGTAGAGAGAGCTTGTTGCAGGAGTGTAGAAATCAACCCCAATTGGAGAGTTAAGGGGGTCAAAACTTGTATAGACTGACAATCTTTTTATGAGGATATCAACCAATGAAAAGTATCACGTGTGAATCATTTTTTGCCTACACTTTGTTCTGAAGTTTCCAGCTCAGCTCTACTCATGCAAATGGATCGAGAAGGGACAAACCCCCAATTTCCCAATGGATATGTATAAGAAGATAGTTCGATACAAAGAAAGAAAGAAAAAAGAGAAACAAAAGGAGAGAAACAATTCGGAACCAAAAATCTTTATCAAGTAGATTGAATGGCAACGATTGTTTTTGACATAGAAGACAATATCATTTAAGCAGTATTAACTTCTAGTATCTTTTCATTAACAATGCTGAACCAACATACAATTATTGCTCGATATTGCTTCATCGTCAATTGCTTTTCCCTTTGAACATGCAAATCAAGAACTTGGAAATCGAACTTTCTTACTAGACATGATATAGAGTACAGTTAAGTTCCAGGTAACATCAATTCTAAACAAAATTTATGCATTGCATAATGCATAGAATTATGTTCAGGATGAATTGATTATGTTCCGCCCTGTCTTTGGTGAACGATGAATTGCTTAAGAAGAAATCCATTGACCTTGAAAAAGTTGCATAACTGTTCTACCCATGATCCACTCTACCTCAGACGATGAAAAAGGCACTTGTTGTGCAAGAAGAGACGCTGCTTCTTTTGCTTCTTTATAACCGCACTCAGGAACAACAAATGGGAAGTCACTGTATCATGTTCAACAATGCACTTTAGATAAACATCAAAGAGTTTCAATTGTAAGCTGAAGGACTATTTTTTTTTAAATATTAATAACAGCATTTTAGTAGAAAGAAATGATATGAGTTACCTTCCCCACATGACATGATTGACACCAAAGCTGGAGACTATTTGGGTAAGAACTTGGGATAAATCATCATATGGATATGGCTCTCTCGACACTCTAAACAAGGCACTGAATTTCACATAAACCTGTCAAATCAAGCTTCTATCCACTAGTAAGGATCTCATATGTCATTAGGATAATCTAGAGCAAACTTGATGTTATCCCGGGTGGTTGACTTAACTTACTGATTGCGGGTAACCATAGAAAAATGAAGGGATGAAGCAGGAATGAAAAGTGTCCATTGTCTCATGGAGCAAGCTAACTTACTGGCAAATTAAGAAGTCTTTAGATAGGCATTTCACAAAGCAAGCAGAGAGGCCACGGGATCCAAACTTGTGGTCACAATAAAAATATCAGGCATACTTGCATGCTTGATACTTCAAAGAACCACACTATTTTCAGAAATAGAGGTGGGAGCTTATTTGCCAAACTAAAGCTTCTAGAAGTAGTTCATTCTGTTCTAAAGTTCTCATTGAAAATCATGTTTAAATCTTGAGAAGCAAGAGAGAGAAGCATATAATGACTCACAATGTCCTGGATCAAAAAGACCTCAGCATGATGGCAGGCATTGTCAAAAAGTAAACTGAAATTGAACATACACAGTAAAGAAATCAAGCCACGAAGTTACCCGCCACAAATTACCTGTGGGAATCTGGATAGCTTTAACAGCTCCGAGAAGACTTGGCTTTCATCATCAGTTCTGCAAGATGACACACACCAAGAAACCTAATGTGGTTCTTCACTGAACTACGAGTGAAAAGCTCCTTTCGAAGCAGTTATTGTACAAGGGAGCTTACATTGGAGGTTTGCAGAAAGCTACATGATCAAGCAAAACAACGGTTGAAGGAAATTCTGTGCACAGTTTCTCTATTTCTGAAAGATGCAGATTCAGACCCTGAAAAGATAACCTTAATGAAGTCTGCCACTTAACCATTGGCATCAACTGAGTGATTCTTGATTTGAAGAAATAAAGTGACCATAGTTGCTCTGAGTGACTTGGATGCTAGTTCAAATGTGACTGATAAAACAGAGTGCAGAAGGTTGTTCAATTGTAAGGCCTAACTTAGTTGAGTGAAAAGAGAACTCTATACCGTCATGCACATAAAACCTACTGGCACTCTGAGCTCTCCAGCTTTGGAGAACATTGCCTTCCCAATTTCATTTGTCATCTGTGCAGATCATCAAACACAATTAATTCTTTATCATTGAGTAACATTAGACAATATTCATTCTTCAGTGCATCTGTCATAGATGTAAGGGGACTATCTCAACAATTCAAAGGGAATCCCACGATGGATAATTTGAACATCATTGAATGGGATAAATACTCACCATCAGAATGTGAAACCTAGAAAGGAAATTTTGGGACCAAACTAAATTTCCAAACGCATATATGTTCTCACTAATCATTTTGCTTGTTGGACTTTATCTTAAATTAGAAACTGGTCAGTCACCATGTAACCTTACTTCCTCCACTTAAGAAAGTAAACTATTGTAAGGAAGAGTTTGACTTGTCTACTCTCCAACTTCATTTGTGAATCATGTTGGAGAATGAAATATGGGGTGGGGATAAACTGCAGGAAAGATCTTACATGAAGATTGATACCTGTTCACCAGAAGGCCACAAATATGGATTAAAGCGAACAGCACGATAGCCATCCTAGCACGATAAAAAAGTCTTTGTCAAGGTTATTCATACTGGATAAAAAAAAGGTTATCTGATGGTTTGAGATTCTTTAAGGACCTTCAAAATTAGACGTTCAAGCTGTCCAACACCACTTCCATCTTCCGCAGGATTTGCAAGGCAACAACCAACAAATTTGGATGGATACTTCTTCAAGACACTGTCCAATAATTAATTATTTAAGATGGAAATGTGAATACTTAAACTGAAATATTAACTACTAATTTTAACAGAGACTTACTTTCAAGGTTACTGGTATATGCTACAATGCTTTAAGAATGACCAACATGCTACAAGAGTCCCTTCTTAAGCAGAGCATGACCGGAAAGCAGGAGTTACAGAACCTGAGGTAAGTGTAACCTGCTCCTGGATCTCCTTGCACCAACAGTTTAATTTTACTATTATTTCTTCATTTTTTAACTTTTGTTCTTCAGTTTCTAAATTCGAGCCTATGGTGACTTCACTGAATGGAAGGATCTTTACATCAAGGTCAAGATTTGACAGTGTCACAGGTTAGTCCGGTTGATCATTTCATTTCATGGTCTTCTGTTGGCAAATGATGCATCATTATCAACTCTTTTATGCAATTTATCCAATGCCACCACAAATTTTCATGTGGGTTTTTAGGTTTATTAAATACCAGCAGCCATCTTATTGTATAGAAGGGAGACACAATTTATAATTGGGTAATTCAAGTAAAAGTTCAACTGACCTTGTCACATAAGAATGATCAAACTTATGATTAATGGGCTGCACAATGAGCGCACCATCCACACTTGCTTCTTCCATGCACTGCAGCCAGAAAACATCACATTATCTATTAATATCCACAAGGAAAGCTCAATGGAACCACTAAATATACAAGAATACACCAATTGATCTTAAGAAGAAAAAGAACACATACAATATATGAATTTATATACATACATTATACCAATTTATCTCGTGTATAGGATTACAATTATGGTATGCAAACATGGGTATGATATAAAATTCAACACAGAATTAGAAGTAACAGAAAGCTATCGTTTAATGTAGTAGGAAAGGAAGTACCTGAAGCAAGAAATCGGCGTGACCAGGTAAAGTTGGTTCTTGGCCAGGAAAGTAAGGATATTTATCTGCAGCCTATAATGCAAATACACCATTTTATATGCACATGACATGTAAGTATATATATACATACTAGCATCCGACCCATCAACCTTCTCCTTCTCCTCTCAATCCCCTTTTTCACCCTTTATTTTTGAGTTCACAAGCCTTCTCCTAACAAATTGATTGATTTATGTATGTAGAGTATAGATATATATATGGCGTCGTTTGGTATGGTTACCTCTTGAGGAGATGCCCAGACGTGCAAATGTGAATCGATGACTTTAGTCATCTTGGGATTGAGTGATTCACTGGTGGTCGTGGCCATTTGAGCCGCAAAGACTTGCAATCTCCGATTATTCCTCGAACTTGGCAGCGAGAGAATCGGCGAATTACATCGGCATGAAGGAATCGTTACCGAAATCAAAGGCTTGAGTGAGTTCAGTCTCACTGCCATCACACCAGTCCACTAAAAAGATAGTAATACCCTCAGCTGTAGTTTAAGCTTAGTCTGTAAGAAGAATTATAATTATATTGTAAAGCTCATTATACATGGTGGTGTCGTGGTGTAGTTGGTTATCACGTCAGTCTAACACACTGAAGGTCTCCGGTTCGAACCCGGGCGACGCCACATTGTTTTGTTTTTGCTGTTTTTTCTTTCTCCAGAATAATTTATTATACTTACACAGTTACACCCACCTTTCAGCAGAATAAATTTTAGGGAAAAAAACAAAAAACTCTCCTGAACTAAGTTCAATCTTAATTCACCCTCCTATACTTTTACGGGTTGGACTTAACTTTTTCCAATTTGTACTTCACATTTTCCGACTAATGAAAAAACTGAAAATCTAACATAATTCGTTTCTTGTAACAGTACAATAATTATACGCACTAATTAATTAAGATTGTGTTATAAGATAAATATTTTTTTAAAATTAAAAAATTAAATTATTAATTTTAAACTTCATCTTTCTCTCTCTCTTCAGATTTGCAAAATTATTTTTGACCCATCAAACGACTTACTTTCTTACATCAAAGGTCATTTTTGAAACTCCTTGACCTCAAATTAGTTAGTTCTATCTCTCCTGTTGAAACTATAACAAGTTTTTTAAAGTTTTGATTTTCAAGTTTTCAAACCCTAGTGGGTTTTTCACCACACACATAGACACCTCGGCTATGGCTTTCAAGCACTACAATACACTATACTAGAATCTCATAATTTAAGTTTTAATTGAGGAAGAAAGAATCGTTTGATATGTAATCCATTTGAAAATCCATAACTACTTTAAGTTTCAAATACAAATTCGAGCACACACACAACATGAAATTTAAATATAATCACACCAATGAAATCCTCATGTGAGACCCATACACGCATTGCATGCTATTTTGTTAAATGTTAGGGGTTAATGCATAATTTATGATAATTTACGATATTAATTTGGGGGTTAAATTATAGTTATAAAAGCTATGAGAGAAGAGGAAAATTTTGAATTATAACCCTAGGGGTCGAATTTTGTGATAAAAATGGTATTTGGGTGTAAAATCAAATAAATTAGAGATGTTTTAAATATGAGTTTATAAATATTTAAAATCAAGAGGTGTGTGTGTGTGTGTGTGAGAGAGAGAGAGAGAGAGAGAAAGAAGTGTAAGGGGACTCAAGTGGGTTTTTGGAAAAAAATGAGTCATAAGAGTCTCTTAGAGGTCACATCTTCTATATTGGGAGGGAAGATAATCAGACGGAGGAGCTTCAATCTTTTGGTTTTGAAATTTGACGTGGAACGAACCAATTTTCTTGATTTCTTTGGTTTCAAATAGACTTTGTTGAAGAATTGAAAGAGAGTAACTCTTCTTGGTAAGAAATTCTATTAATAATTCTTTGTATTTGATGGTTTAAAAGCATAGGAAAAAGGGTTGGATTTTGGTGTATGAAAGTCTTGGCCATAGGGTATGATTTTGATATTGGTTTTGGTTTGTGAAATTTGTATGTTGGGTTTATAATAGATATGAAAAATCATGTGTTTGGAGATTATAATTGATAGTATGTATCTAGAAGTTGTAGGGTTGAGTGAGGAAAATTGAGGAAGAAGATGGAATAAAGAAGGCCAAACGGGTTTACGTCATATTTCTACCGGTAGGAATGGTGTTCTACTAGTAGAACGATATTATGTCAGACTTCTACAGTAGGAAGGGGTATCCTACTTGATGCAAATCATAACACAACTTCAAGGGATTTAGTTCAAGTTCCAAGTGGGCCAGTTACGATAACACGAGCAAGGAAGTTTAAAGAGGTACTCAATGGACTAATTCAAGAGGCATGAAATCAAGCAAGTTCGTGGAGGCCCATTGACCATAATCCACTTGGGCAACAAAGTTTCATCAACATGATTCAAGCTCTAGAAGAATCCAACTAGGGGCTAAGGCTAAGCTTAAATTGGCTTCTTGTTGTTAAGGCCTCCAATTTGTCTAAAGGATTAGAATTATTAATAAGTGGACTTGAGGATGCTTAGCCCACATGTTTTATTTCTTATGAACTAGGATTTTCGTAGTTACTGTAGCGCTGCACTGTTCACGCTACAGTAACCGTGCACTATTCACTCTTTTTAGGGTCTAATTGTAATGCTTGTATGCCAAGTATTTTTCTTTTTCTATTTAGGCATGTGATCAACCATTTAAAGGGCTGAATGTCTTTCTTTTTTTCTTCAAGAGTCTTAGGAAAGTAAAATATATTTTTTTACCCTCAAGTAAGAGATATTTCTTAAATAGGATAGCTATTTTAGGAAGTTTCCTAATCCTTGTAATGACCAGCCTATAAATAGGCATTCAAATCAATAAAAATTCAGATCATTATTCAGCAAATTTTGAGAATGTTTTCTCTTTGGTTCTTTGAAGAACTAAACGAACTTATTGGAATTCTCCGTGGTGTTCACCAACGACTTATCAAACGGGTTTCCACACCGTTTGTGGCGTCTTCCCTTATACCGAGGTTCTTGTTTCACAAACAGCGGGTTGAGGTCTATATACCAAGGTTCTTGTTTGTCGTAAATAACGGGTCAAGGTCTACCGTAAAATCTGATCATAAAACGATCTTGAGTTCTTTTCGTTGTTAGATCTCGTTATTCCGGCGGGCTCCACATCATTTGGTATCAAAGCCAAGGCTCAAGTTCAGGTTTGCTTATCTCTTAAAACCTTTCTCTTAGTTATTCGTTGTTCCTTTCTCTTCGTTATTCTGTGTTCTTTTAGTTCCTAAAAATTCGGTTCACATACCCTAGTGTAGTCGAATTTCCTTTACCCCATTCCGCTCATATTTTGTTGGTTCTACTTATTACAAATTCATATTCTGTTACCACAAAAAGTTAGTTGCTGATCAAAAAAAAAAAAAAAAGGGGCAGAAAGAAGTCAAAAAAAAATATATATATATCAGATTGTTTGTCTTCATCTATAGCCAAAAAAACAAATCAGATTGTTTGTGTTCATCCATAGCCCGTAAAAAAAAATATCAGATTGTTAGTCTTTATCCATAGCCTGAAAAAAAAATCAGATTGTTTGAGTTCATCCATCTTGGTCCAATAAGCCTGAAAACCACCTCACCCCAAAATCAGAAGTTTTTTGGAAATCTTGCTATTTTGTCCTTGAATTCTAATCAACCATGTCCTTGAATTCTTGCTCTTCAAACTTGAAATTCCTTGATGAGTTCTTGGTGAATTGTTGCTGAAAATTTTGAGAATTGTTTGTTTAGTTTCAAAAGAACTGAAGGAGAATTATTGAGTGAAAAAAGGCAAGAGTGGTGAGAACATTAGAGGGTTAAAAAAAAGTCATGTATTTTGAGTGAAACACGAGTGTAGAGTGATCCACATTCTTCAGTGTAAACACGTAAGGGAGAGAATTGTGAGGTCCTTTTTTTTCTTTTTGTTTTTTTGTTTTGTTTTTTTTTTCTAACTTTGTTTTGCAGCAATCATGTCTCACAACAATGCTACGGATCTTGCTAACCCAAAATTGTTTATGGAGGCTATGATGAGTGAGATGAGGCATGTGATGAAGTTGAAACTAGAACAAGTCCATGAACATATAGATCAGATGGAGAATACACATGAGAGGCTACCACAAAACGTCCCTAATGTGCGTAGAAGGGAAAGAGTTCAACCAAGGGAAGGGGAGAAGATGAAGAGCTTTAGGGGCTGGTTTTGATGAAGAAGATGATCGAAATTCTGTTGTTAGTAATAGAAGACATGGAGGGCGGTTTAGAGAAGTTAGGAACCGGGAAGATAACAACTTGGGTGGTATTAAGATGAAAATTCCATCCTTTCAAGGTAGATCCGATCCTGAAGCATACCTTGAGTGGGAGAAGAAGATGGAGTTCGTATTTGATTGCTATAACTATTCAAATGCAAAGAAGGTAAAATTAGCGGTGATTGAGTTTTCTGACTATGCTATTACTTGGTGGGATCAGCTTGTTATAAATCGGAGGTGAAATAGAGAACGTCCAATAGAGACATGGGAGGAGATGAAAATGGTGATGAGAAAACGGTTCGTTCCAAGCTACTATTATCGAGAGTTGTACAAAAAACTACAAGGTCTTAAACAGGAAAGCCGGAGTGTGGAGGATTACTACAAGGAGATGGAGATTGCTATGATCCGAGCTAATGTAGAGGAAGATCGAGAGGCTACCATGGCTAGGTTCTTACTTGGATTAAACCGGGAAATCCAAGATAAGGTGGAGATGCAACATTACGTGGAGTTGAAAGATATGGTGCTCATGGCCATCAAAGTGGAGCAACAACTCAAGAGGGGGGTGGGTCACGTGCAGCCCATAACTCTAGTTCTAATTCTTGGAAATCGAGTTATACCAAGCGACTGGACAAGTCACCAACGTCAAAAGCTGAGCCCAAGTCCGCGAACACTAGCCACATTCCTCAAGGTAAAATCGACTCTTCTACCTCTAGGAATCATGACATTAAATGTTTTAAATGTCAAGGCAGGGGACACATAGCAAGTCAATGTCCAAACAAGCAGGTCATGGTGTTGCAAGGCAATGGTGAAATTGTGACCGACGAAGAAGATTCCAACACCAATGGCATGCCACTATTGGAGGACGTTCCCAATGAGGAATATTTAGCCCTTTATGCATTGACATTGGTGGCAAGAAGAGCATTGAGCGTGCATGCAAAGTAGGTTGATGAAGTGCAGTGGGAGAACATCTTCCACACTAGGTGCTACATCAAAGACAAGGTGTGTAGTGTAATTATTGATGGTGGTAGTTGTACTAATGTTGCAAGCACAATTATGGTGGAGAAGTTGGTATTACCCGTGTTGAAGCACCCTAAACCGTATAAGTTGCAATGGTTGAATGATAGTGGTGAGATAAGGGTGAACAAGCAGGTGTTAGTTGCATTTCGAATTGGTAAGTACGAAGATGAAGTGTTGTGTGATGTAGTACCGATGCAAGCTGGACACTTATTGCTAGGGCGTCCATGGCAGTTTGATAGGCATGTGAAGCATGATGGC